GTGCAATGGACAGGAGTCCCGAGCGTGGCTTGCGAGCTGATCGTGGAGTGGCATGTAACCCACTGAGCGCTGCTCAAGTTTCGAAGCAGTCGGTGCATGTCAGGCGTGACATGGTCGGCCAAGGGCTGAGGCCCCCGTAATGCACGTGAAGTGGCACGTAAACCACTGAGCGCTGCTCGAGTATCAAAGCAGTCGCTGCATGTCATGCGGGACATGGTCGTCCAGAGGCATCAATGGCGAGGCCCTCGTGATGCACGTGAAGTGGCACGTAAACCACTGAGCGCTGTTTGAGTATCAAAGCAGTCGCTGCATGTTATGCGAGACATGGTCGGACAGAGTCCGAGGCACCTTGGTCACGGCCCTTCAGATGCGCGTGGAGCGGTACCTAAACCACTGACCACTGCTCACGTTGCGAAGCAGTCGCTGCATGCCATTGATGGCGTCGTCGGACAGAGTCCGATGCATCTTGGGCACGGCCCTTCAAATGCGCGTGGAGTGGCACGATATCCACTGGACGAGGACTGCGGGGTCAGCAGCTCTTCGTCGGATGTTGTATATAACAGCGGAGTTCCAGAGGAGCGGAGTGTGAGGGTGACACCGGACGACGCGGAATGCGTGTTCACCCTGGTCTCGCCGAGACATAGAGCCTCTGTTCAGAGGTGACGACGACGCCGTATGTTGGCTGCAAGACGCCGGGCGTCGACCCTGATCCAGGGTGTGTCTACCGTAGACGACGGTGCGCAGTTATATACCCTCGTCAACGGTAGGACGAAAGAGGAAGATGGCGACGTCCGCCTCGAGGCTATGCCTGCAATTGATGCTCTTCTTGAGCTGTACGAGGTGTCCCTTGAAGAGTTCGACAGTGCCTTGAAGGTAGGCGATCTGGCCGAACTGGTCATTGTACTACCGGAGTAGGAGATAAACTCATAATCGCTTCTGGATGAAGCTGTCTTGGAAGACACCAAGAGAGTGCTGAGCGCACGAAGCGGATCATCGATACTACGGAAACCTTAGATCCGTACTATCCTTTGATAAAGGAATTTCAAGTTGTCGTCTCCAAAGATCTGCTTTCGGTCCTACCTCCGGAACGAGGTGTGCGTCATGAGATCGACCTGGTCCCGGGAATCAAATACTGCGTAATACGCTAATGGCCCCTGCCCAAGGAGCAGTGCGACGTCATTGACGCATTTTTCGTGCGAAGCACGACGCAGGGAAAGTGCGTGAAAGCAAGTCTCCCCACCCTACACCCAAGTTCTGTGTTCGGAAGCCGAACGGCAAGTGGCGTATCGTTCATGCTTACAATAAGACCAACGCTGCAACCATTCCGGCACAGACGCCGATTCCTACAAAGGATGTTCTTCAGAACAACATGGTGGAATGTACGAATTACAGTGCACTCGACTCGGTCGATGGGGTATTACCAATTGCTCATGAGAGCGAGTGATATTCCGCTAACAGCGGT